ATATGTATATATATATATATGTTGGTAACGAAAACTTACCAAGTTGCAGAATCCTTGCCTGCTATGCTGGCGATCCGCGAGAGCGCTTCTCTCCATTTCACGACCTTGTTAGCGATTTCTGAGCCTTGGTACTTGTCGAACGTGAAACTCCCAGTCTGATGTCTCACATGAGAAGGATCAACTCCATAGAAAACGGGGACGACTTTCATCTCTTTCTTCAAGCGAAGATTCATTATCATTACGAGTTCGTCCAGGCACCAGCTAGATGTAGCATAGTTCTGTGATAGAATAACAACAGCGATTCTGGAGTCTTGGATGGCTCTGGTTAGCTCTTCGGAAATGGAGTCGCCGACCTCAAGCCTTTGATCATCCTTGAAGGTAACAATTCCCCTGTTGACAAGCTCTTTGTGCAAATGGCTGACGATATTCTTGCGGGTGTCTTCTCCCCGGAAACTCAGGAACACATCGTACTTCCAAATAGGAGACGAAGAGGACGAAGCCATCGGTCTCTATGGATCAACTACGTGGCCAAGAAAGAAACTTTTGCAGGTTGAAGAAAATCAAGATGTGATACCAACAAATCATAGCAAATCCATAGTTCAAAAAGACCACACACTTGCACGTTGTCCATATAATGATATCAAATTCATGGTTCCATAAGAACCTCCAAGCCATGACCATCACATACTTGCACGTCGCCAGTATCATTTTTTAATCCGTTAACTTTTGGATTATCGTCGCTCTACATATTCTGCACCATTGACCGACTCTATTTCATCGGTCAAATTCACGAATCGATCATATCTTCACTATCGATAATCATGGATTCTCCTCCGTCGGTGTTTCTGAGCTATAAAAGGGAGGACACTGGCACAACTTTCGTCAGCCATCTCTACCGTTCGTTGGATCAAAAAGAGATTCGTACTTACAACGATGAAAACCAGCAGACGATAGACGGAAGAGTATCTCCTGAGGTCGATCGGGCTATCGAGGAGTCAAATGTTGCCGTCGTTGTGATATCAGAGAACTACGCCTCTTCCGTCTGGTGCTTGGAGGTACTCGCGAAGATCATTGAGCATGCGAGGTTTACTTTTGACATGCCCATCTATACAGTCTTCTACGAAATGGATCCGGAGGATTTGACAAGACCAACTGGGAAATTCGCCGACGACTTGAGGAGGCATGAAGAGAGTGAAACTCCTGAGACCGTGAATCGCTGGAGGAATGCACTGGAGCGATTGGAGAGCAACGACCCTAAATTTTGTTCGCGCGATTGGTAATCTACTAACCAAGCAAAGATCAAATATTGATAGTGGCATAGTGCTCATTACTCGGCTTATTTTATTTTGCTAACATAGAAGTTCTAATCTAAACTATAGGTCTTAACCATTTTGTAGAAATAAATCATGCGTCTCATAATGTTTAAATTATGTGGGAAAAAAAAATATTATCTAAAATTATGTTGTATCCATTTTGTTTACATAGATAAAGAAATTCATTGCTATTACCTATTAGAGTATAGGAGAATTAAAAAAGAAAAAAAAAAAAAAAAATGTTTTGGCATGGTGATATTTTTAAGGATTTGTTCCTGGACAGGGAGGATGATTCCAAGATGCTCGATGATCTGATCAACAGCATTTCTTCTCCTCGGTTTCCTAGATTCCATCTAGGCGCACAAAAATCTGAAAGGGCGGAGTCATCAACTGACCTCGAATCCAGCGAGTTGAGCTTGATGAGCGATACCTATATGAAGCACATACCGCAAAGCCTGTCTGGAGAAGCTGAACTTGAGAGCCAGGACACGTCTTTTACAGACGTTGAATTGTCGAATAAATCGCCTTCTCCCGCATCTGAAGACTCCAGCGGTCTTGTTGGGATGTATCGTCACAAGAAAGCCGTCTATGCATTGCTTGATTTGGAATCTACGAACATTGTCCGTACAGTTGGCATTTGGGGAGAGGATGGCGTCGGTAAAACGACACTCGCGGAAAGTGTTTTCGACGACATCTCGCGCCACTTTCAACACCACTGCTTCCTAAGCAATGTCAACAACATCTATCAAAACCGCATCTCACCAAGCTTGCTAAAACATCTTACAAGAAAAAAGAGTTCCGATAACATCTTTGATGCCATCAAACCATGTCTTGTAAACCGAAAGGTCCTACTTGTTATTGATGGTGTTCATCAGAATTACCATGAGCAACTCAAGGATGCCATGAAGGTTACCCGTTGGCTCGGCCCCGGAAGTAGAGTCATCATGACATCTAGATTCGACAATACGCTTACCTCCTGCGGTGTGAAATATGTCTACCAGATGGAGTACCTAAGATATGATGAAGCTCTTCAACTCTTCTCTCAGTCAGCTTTCAAGAAGACTTGCCCTCTGGTTGGTTTTGAAGGGTTATCCATTCGTGCTGTCCAATTTGCTGGGCGTCATCCTCTGGCCCTCAAAGTACTCGGATCATTCTTATACGATAAAGACGAAGAGAGTTGGAAAAGAACACTGCGCAAGCTCGAAGCATTACAAGATAAAGGTAGCCGCCAAATATCTAACTACATAGGAGCAGGTGAATACTTCCCAAGAGCTCGAACAGAGTTGGAGCAATATGTAGGAGCAGATGAAGAAGTTTCGCCTTCATATCACATGTGGCTTTGACAATCAAAGTGAAGATCATGTTCTAAGCCTACTTAAAAAAGATTTGGTCGGTGTGCCGGATACAATGCAAGTGATAGTACTGTAACTCTGTTATCTATGTTGATGTCTCGCTACACTAATGTTGTTCAGCATCCATTAAGACAAACAGGAAAGATAATTCCTTGCTGTAGAACCTGGATAGTGCAGTATTTGTTGGTAGCTATGCAAAAGTTGTAATACATTTTTCTTCTTGTATCATGAAATGTGACTTGTGTGTGTTGTCATTTGAGGACTAATCTGAAACAAGATGATTGCCAGAGATTTGAAATCAAAACCAGTGCAATCTTTGGCTAGGATTGTTAGTAGCTGTCTGGGATTTGAATGTGAAATACGTGGCTATTGGTTAAATCTGAGATATTAAAATCCCAGTGCCTCCCTCTAAGAGACATTCTGAAGAGATGAGTTTAAAAATGAAACTGGCAAAATTCAAAGGTTACTCAAGTGGTGGATGATGCAATTGTGTTTTGTCAGCCATAACTTGTGAAAGACCGTTCTTCTCAGTCAACAGGTTTACAAAACAAAATGCAATGCTGTATGAATTTGGAAGAGAGAAAAATTAAGCCGACCCGTTTTTACCAATTACAAAGGTAAGCGTTACCAAACAAGCCAACAAAACCAACCCACGAGACTAGTAGGGGAATCGAATAAATAAAATTAACAAAAGGGTTAAAATGACAACAAGACCACAAGAACAAACAAATGCAGAATCGAGTTATACCAGAGTTGAGAGAGTTTTGGCCACAGATCATGTAACATAATTTACGAGTATGGCCTTTTTCATTGATCAGAGTTAAGTGCTTTGGAGATCCATTCTGATGCTGCGGCTTGAGTTTCTGAGTCCAGTTTTGGAAGTATAGACAGTGGAGTCACAGAAACCTGTCATTACCAATAGTAGTTTAGAGTCCAGATCGGAAAATATCTATAGATTCAAGAATTTAACCAGACAAACTCTGTATCAAGATGAGCTAAAGTATTTATTCAGAAAAGAGCAGGACACAGAAAAGGAAACTGGATAAATGATACAGAAGAGAGCATGATCATGCCAACTTACAAAACCATCTTCTAGAGCCTTGATATCCAAATCTCCATCCGTATGTTCTTCTTCTTTAGCCACAAACTGCACATAAGCATAGTCAGAATCTCAACCACAATGTCAATGGTACATACTTAATATCCAAAGGATCTGTGAAGATAACGGCTCAATTTTTTTCTTTACCTCTAGGCGGAAGTGTTTCTTAACACGGCTATCAGTTTTACCAGCAACACCAACCGATTCAATCTCCACAATACTCTTCTTCTGTGTGGTAAAACGGCGAGCCGCTCCCTGAGATTGCCAGATATCTTAATCTCAGTATCTAATTAACTAATCTTGGACCTTCCTAACCAACAACAAGGTATAGGAAACAACATATTTGAGAGCTTAAACGTTTTGAATAAGAGGAGTTAACTCACAGCGGCTGAAGCATCTCTGCCAAGCTGTGCAAGCTGAGCTCCGAGACTTTGTTGGTTAGACATGAAATTCCCAGCACCAGGATGACGGTTAGCTGAAACACCTTGCCAACTAGGACTCTGCCTCCACGTGCTTTGTTTTGTTATCTTGAAACCCTATTCATATGTACATGAAACGTCTGAATCATTGACCAGTGAGGTTATGATTTCACAACATCATAGAATAAACCATCGCAAAGCAAAGACCATGTTCTTAGCATACAACAAATTTCAAAAATCAAACCTTGTTTGATGAGGGTGATGTTGGAATTTCGATGTTGAGAGAGCAGTCTTTAGGGAAAACTCCTTTCTCAATGTCTCTGATTGTTGCGTTTATCAAAGGTACACAGACACCAACAGCGTCCTTAAAGTCACTTTCTTTGCTTTCATCTTTCTTCCTATAACCGATTACAAAAATTAAAGGCCAATGATTCCAATTATGTAGCAGCACGTATTCCCACGAGACACTCACCAGTTCAACGATATTGACAGAGAGGGTACTCCAGAAATCAAAGCCTCCCTGGCTCCAGAAACAGCACCAGAATAGAACCTGGAGGATTCTCGAATCAGAACACACATAGCAGATGGGCAGACAAAAACGGATAACCAGTTCTATACAAGACAAAATCACCTACATTTGGTGCCCACAGCTTGATCCCTGATTGATTCCACTAATTACCTGAAGAGAATAAGCAAAGACAGTGAAGTGGAAATGACATAATACCAGAATATCATACAGCCAAATGATGAGATGATCAAAATGCTAACCAGTACTGGTTTTGACCAAGCAAAGAGGGCTCCGGATAATCCTAGTGAGATGCAGTCCACAGGAGTCCCTGACACAAATTCACAAAACAATCATCTCAGAGCCTATGAACAGAAACTAATACTCACACGCACACTGTATGCTTCTACACTTTTCAAACAACTTGAAAATCAATGGATCTTGCTTCAACAAAGACTCCAACTTTCAGATTATAAATGTTACCTGAAACTTCAAAGGCTGTGGCACCTTTGATATTAACAGAACTTGCAGCAATGGTTTCTCCAGGAGTCATGGAATGAGCAGAAGCCGACTTATCCCTGCACATTTCCAATTCACAGACCTTGTGAGACACAATAAGCTCGAAAACGTAACCAAATCAACAGTTGAAAACAATCGGATTTTGAAATTGAAAAATGGGGGAAACCGCACGTTTGAGGAGCACAAACATGGACATTATAGAGCCCTTCGCGAACCAAAGCCTCAACGAGAGAGACGAGCCCAGGCGAATCAATCCCATCGCCATTCGTGACTAAAACGATGGGTCTGGAGTCATC